TGTCTATATAGTAACTAGTAGACTACTCTACTATATATATATATATATATATATATATATATATATATTTTTTTTTTTTTTTTTCTAGGGAAATGATCTTGCGAGACCTTTTCACACCCATGTGTGTAGGACCCCAAATGATCACCATTAAATTTGACACAGATATCTATAAAAGTCAAGTCCCATAGCCATGTAATAACTTTTCTAGATATATATGTTAAATTTAATGGTGATCCTTTGACGTCCTACACACATGGGTGTGGAAGAGTCTCATAAGATCATTACTCATATATATATATAATATCTGGTTAGCCCATTAGCTGATGGAATAGTATAAGTCCAACAGCCTAGATAAAATTTGAGTTGATTTGATAATCACAATTTTATTTCGTGTTTGAATTTTAATTATTTTTCTACTATTCCAAATCATTTGACATTTAGAGTGTCTACTCTTCTCATCAAGGTGTACCTAATAAAACTATTAAAAAAATTATTCACAAAAACCGAATTAACCAAACCACCCCTGTACTTTTCAATGGTCATCATCATCATCATTTTAGCCATTTCACAAGTAATTGGGGTCGGCTACAAAAATCCTTGTTCTCCATTTTTCTCTATTAAATGCCATATCCTTAGTGAGGTCATAAATCCCCATATCTTCTCGGACTACTTCCAACCACATCCTTTTAGACCTACCCATTACCCTTTTTAGTCTTTCCCTTTGAACTAATTTGCACCTCCTAACGGGAGTTGTACTTGGCCGGTGCCACATGTGGCTAGTCCACCTAAGTATTCGATTTTTAATTGTTTTTTAATATTTTTATTAATTTCACCTATATTTCAAAAGTAAATGCTCAACATTTTAAATGAATTGGATTTCTTAAAAAAAAAAAATTCAAATTCAAATATAAAATATAATTGTGATAATTGGATCGACACATATTCAATCTGAACCATTGAGTGTTTATTGTAGCTGTCAGCTAGCAGGTCTCCCATATATTATACGGAGAAGACTTGGACCTAGTCAAGTCGGGTACAGATTTCGTATGCAACAAACCCATTTTCAGCCCCAAGAGAAAGAGTGCTTATGTGATTGGTGAATAGCTTTATCTCTTTTTTTTTCTTTTTTTTAATTAATAAAAGCTAGTAGGAAAAATTATTATTTAAAGAGTTGCGTATTGAAATGCAAACACAAGTTAGGCGTATATCTCTATGTACATAAAATATAGCTAAAGCTAGGGGTGGCAATGGCCCAGCTGCCGGGCTTGTGGTCCAAGGGTCCAGGTGCGGGTATTCAGGCTGGAGCATGTTTGAGCCTGACTTTAGTATTTTTTATTTATTATTTTAAAAATTTAGAAAACAAAAACATTAATCTACCATATATAAAATGCCAATTAGTTTGGGACCCGATGGCGATCATATAATATATATGGACGGTTAGATGGACGTTTGGTAAAGATTAAAAAAACAGCTACCAAGATAACATTTGAAGAAAAAATTAAGAGATTATGATCCCTTGGGTATATGATCCATGATATAAATACCATATTTAGGATGTTCAAATTTTAAAAGTTAACTTTTAAATATATTCTTGGAGCAGGTATTTACTTTTCCATCTAAAAAATATGGCTTGGCAAATCTCTAACTCGAGGGAGTACTTATACAATTTGCTCCCATGGGATCATGTACGGTCCTTTTTGCCCTTCCAAGATTTTATTCCCCATGGCATTAGTAACGTACCGAGTGTTTTACAATTGATATTTTCCAAAAATATCATTATATTAAACCAAATGGCAACATAGTCCTGTATCAATTTTTTTAAAAATATATTACTAATTTCGCATTTCTTAAAAAGCAACATATTATGAAAAGAATTTGAATTATACAATGCAAAAACATATTAAATTTAGATAGAATTTACTTTTATCTTATTTATCAATATTTATTTTGAAGGCTAAAATTTATATTTATTTCTTGAGAACTTAAGTCATAATTAAAATAATTTTATTTTATGAGCATAACTTTAACATTTTATTTTTATATTATAAATTTATACTTGCATTATTAGTATGCAATCCGAGATGGTCCTAGTTTCTTCCCGCCCCTTGTCACCCTATTATACAGATACCTGAAGATGATGCCCTCGAGGATGCATTAGTGATGGATAGCGATTCTTTTTTTATCATTGGATGTGTAATTGAGTGGCTGCATTTATTTCATTGATCAAGCTCAAAGTTCGAAAGAAATTTTTTTGAACTTTGATACACCCAAATTATCAGATTTTATATCAGATTGTTATAAATAATTATTACATTCTTGTATCAAAGATAAATGGTTTAGTTATGTACAATCCGGTAACGCAATAGTATTAAAGCTTATTTGGATGCATTCGTTATCACTATTAATGCATTATTTATTGTTTTACATAATCTCACATAAAATTGTTTAATAAATTTTTTAGATATAAGTATCTTGTTGAAAAGTTGTTTTTACTTTATTCAAGCTTTCAGAGTCAGCCTGAAGAAGCTTGTATCCTTTGGATTTTTACTGACCAACTCCTTTTCCTGTGAAGTTTGGAAGTGCAAGGCGCCCCTTAGAGTGCGAGATTTCATGTGGCTCTTAAGTTGGGTCGTATTTTAACCATTGATCAACTTCGGTTGCAGGTTGTTCCAATCATTAATGTTTGTGTTCTATGTAAGAAGAATGATGAGTCAGTGGCCCATATATTTTTCTCGCTTGTTCTTTCGCTCGGCAAATATGGGAATAGCTCCTAATTAAATTTAATTTTATGCCGTGCCATATTGAAGGCATTTTTATACATGGATGGTCCCTTCCGTTCTCATCACTGAGATTGGTCTTATGGTGCTTAAGTGTAGCAGACCATTTGGAAGTAGAGGAATGCTAGATGTTTTGAAGGAAAAGTCAGTAAGTGTAGATTCCCTTGTAGCCTCCATCCTTAAGCTGATGGTTGAACCCGCCTTCAAACATTTTCAGAAGTTCTTTTATTCGAATCTCAATTCACCGTTGACCTTGAAAAGAAGAAATTTGTGGAAGATAGCTGCCGGTTTCCACTTCCGGCTAGTTGGGTCAAGCTTAATTTTAATGAAAGAGTGAGGGAAGGTGGTCATGTGGCCTGTTGTGGGAACCTCCTCAGGGATAATTTGAGGTGTACTATTTGGACCTATCATGGTGTTCTCCATCCTTGTACAACCAATGAAGCTGAACTGTGGGCTCTTCTTTATGAACTAAGAAGAATTAATGACTCCTTCTTTAGGGTGTTGATTGGAGGAGATTCACTAAATGTTATTAACGGAAGCTTCTTCCATCCCTTGGCAATGGGTACACATTCGGAACATGATTGATTGTTGTCTTTGTAGGAACAAGGTGCAATCTGTCCATGTCTACAGAGAGCGAAAGTGAAGTGCAGATGCTATTGCTAGGGTTGGGGTGGTGCGAGCCTCAGACTACTCATGTAGTCTCTGCCTTCTCTCCTTTTCTCTCTCTTTGCCTTTCTCCTTTTTATGTCTCTCTTGCTTCTCTCCCATTTCTTTTGTCTTCTTTCGTCTTCTTTCCTTGTGCGGACAGCCCCCCCCCCCCCCCCCCCCCGACTTTTTGGGGCTTGCTTGGCTCGGATGTCCGCTCGTTCCACTAAACTGGCTTCACTACACGAACTGCAGAGTTTAAGAATCCCTTATGATGTGGCCTCGAATACACTTGTATCTCCACTGCCCACTCGAGATTTGTCGTTTGGTCTTTAGCAGCTGTGTGCAGTTAGATTTGCGGCCCATACTAGTGTAAAAAAATATGCTAGACGTGCCCAATTGGATGAGATTTTTTAATTAGATCGAGTGAGTTGCTTTGAAATCCAATGATGTTTTTCGTAGCGGTCCAAAGGGTTGGTTCACTTTTGGAAAGACACATGCATCGTCGTCAGAAATACGACCCTCAAAATCAGCGGCCACTACAAAAAACTCATTGTCATACAATTTAACAAATGTGAAGGTGGAGTTCTAGGTGAAACACAAACTCAAATAGTGCCATTTTCAATAAAAAAAGGAAAATTGTTTCATGCAACGGGGACCGCATATCTACATTTGTGGTCCCCAAGGTATATTTGCATCCATCTATAAGGTGATCCATCTAGAAACAATTGAAACTAACAATCCAAATATTTTCCTAATAAAATTATTATTTTTAATTTTCGAATTTTATTTATTTTTTCATACTCATGATCTCCTTCTTAGAGATTACAATTACCTTCAAAATTAAGTCCAAAAATCCATCTCAAAAATAAATTTGTAAGACGTGACTCATTTCTACATGGGCTCATATAAACCATGTCCAAAGAAGAAAAGTAAAGCAAACACCGACATCAGTTCCATGATGTTACGATTGATACATGTCCAAGTTTCACAGGGTTTTGATCTGCCAACACTAGACCCCTAATAAGGTGAGGTCCAAAATTTTTCCGGTACCACCGTGATCATTAACAATGAATGCTAATAAACTTTACCCCCCCAGCCTTTCTGGACTGTTCATTTTAGATCTTTTAAAAATATAAAGAAACCAAAGTTTGAGAAAATTTTCTTTGATTGTTTATATTCATGATGCAAATCTGATAACTTAATATACCACAGTTAAAAAAAAAATTTCTCTGAAGTTTGAGCTTGGTAAATGGAATAAATACAATCACCCAACTTTACATCCAATAGTCAAAATTAATTGTGACCACCTTGTACAAAAATAAATGATCTTGTTTTATACTTTTCCTTTATATAAACCGGTGAGAGTAGATGATAACCCAATTCAAATTGAGAGTGCCCAAACAGGATCATATCTTTTATTTATCTCAACAATCAGATGTTTGTTGAACATGGAAAAATGTGATGCTGGTAAATATTCGGATTACCAGATTACAGGTGACCAGGTAATAAATATTAAATATTGGAGGTGAAGATTACATCATTACACACAAAACAGAAGGCACGTGAGAATTACCATCTTTTTGTACAGAGAGAGAGAGAGGAGACAGGGATATGTGGTTTCATGGTTCGGGCTGCATTTTCTCACACTCCTCTCTTATTGATTGAAACAGAACAGAAGACAGGTACCTTTCACCAAAGCTCGGAAAAACAACCTGTAATTGCTCCACTGTCAAGTCTAGGCATGAGGGAGATGAGGATGAGTGTGTGCATGTTTGTGTCCACAGGGTGAGACAGAAGGGAGAGAGAGAGAGAGATATCATGCGTGTCTCTACAGGGTAGGTAGGTAGGTAGGTGTGTGTGTTGAGAGAGAGAGAGCATGCGTGTGTCTATAAGGTAGGTAGGTGTGTGTCTGAGAGAGAGAGAGTCTATAGGATAGGTAGGTGTGTGTCTGTGAGAGTGAGAGAGAGAGAGAGATTGGCACAGGTTTACATGTGTAAAAAAAAGCCAGACCAATTTAGTGTACACCCATAAGAATGTGGAAAGAGAGGGTCCCTGTCTTTGGGTCAACTGGGTATGTTGATTTGAAGTGTCTGGGTGCACACGCGAGAATGTATGTCTTTTTATCTGCAGAGTAGGTAGGGGAGAGAGAGAGAGAGAGAGAGAGAGAGAGAGAGAGAGAGATGTGGTCTGGTACAGGGATGCGGATATTTGCAAGCATTCAGGGTATGTGGACGTACACCTAGAGATGTGAATACAAAAGGCAAGATGTGCATGTTTGTGCGTATTCAAAAGGCATGAAGAGAGAGACTCACAGCAACAAGCTTTCCAGCATTTTCCGGTCTTTTTGCCACTTTAATAGCTGCAAGTGCTGCTGCTCCTGAAGAGATCCCCACCTGCACATCACAAACAGATTGAGAGATTATATGGTACTGCAAAGGTTCAATTCCCAAACTCGGTCACTAAAATACAAACTTTCAGACAAAATTCGAGGTTCAAAAGAAAGTAGAAAGTTTTATTTCGGCTGTTTTCTGCGAGTATTGATGAATATCGGGCTACAAGATTGTTGTGAAGCCAACTAATCAAGTGGCTGAACTTTTTGTCCAAAATTTTAATGAATTGGATAAGTTAGAATGGCAAAAATTCAGCTCAAAATGGGTGTATTCGGAGTTCCTTAAAGAGTAAATTTTTTCTGAAATTCAGACTGATATTAAGGATTCAAATTCACCCATTTCACTGGATCGCATTCAGATTATTCCAAGATACACAAAATAAATACGATAGATGACACATAAAATTTGACTTTAATTTTTACCACATTGACTGCCACTAAATTTCAGAAGATCATATTAAAGATTGGCCATAGCTCTTCCAAAGGCATACACCTATGAAAGACAACCCACCTTCAGGACTTTCCTGGCATCTCAGAATAGACTAATATGTGCATAGAACTGAGATACCCGTTAAGGATAGCGATAAGAATGGTCAGGGAGAGAGAGAGAGGGCTTAGCAAACAGTGGAGTCACTACTTTATAGGGTGGAGGAGAAAAATGAGAGGGTGCATCATGCCAGAAAAAACTCCATACATCTCCAGGTGGGACCATAGTTAGGAAGACAGAGAATAATAAAATATCGGCAGACCAAAACATCAGCAACAAATCAGTTTTATTTCAAAAAGTCCGAGAAAACAATCGGATTGCCAAAAAATAAGATAAGCTATAGAACTGTGAATATTTCGGATTTGGTTCAAAAAAACATAGTGAAAGAATCGGGTATGTAAAGATGACACAATATAGGATTATGATGTGCAACTATTGTATAGATATACTAAAGCCATTAAATAATAATTTTATAGCCTGACTAGTGTCTTTAGAGTAATACTTTAACAATTATTAGAGTAATACTATAACAATTTTTGGTTGAAACTTTCAATAAATCCAGCAACAATGCTTACTCCGTTGTGACATCACAAAACATGTCGTAGTTTTACTGGGAGCACAAAATAAAACAACAACAATATTAAACATAAGAACTAATTAGCAAATAACAAGAATTGTGAACCATGGTATAGGATTGTTTTTCAAAGGAAAAAAAACAAAAAACGCCTTCAATATAAAATTGCAGCTAATTAAAAGAAAACATAGAGATCTAAATATGCAAAATAGTGGTCCATCCAAAATGTTATGTTGTATACACCAATAAAAATATATATAAAAAAAAATTAAATTAATCAAACTTCTCTATGGATAAAAAAAAAAACCAAAATGCTTAAGAAAATTTGAATATAGCACTGAATTCCTAGCTACCTAAATCTTTAGTATCATTGAATTTCTCTATTGGTCTTTATGAGAACGCTATGGGTTTAAAGAAAAAATATATATAGATTTTTCATTAGATTACTCTTCTTCTAATTCTGCCTATTATTTTAAGGGGTGTGGTTTCTATAAGGTTGCAACCTTAAACAATCCAATTAACATGCACCTCAAATTTTATCATAACATGTAATTTTGGTGTAAAAAACTTTTAGGATATTTGAAAATCTATTTTCATATCTAATTATAAAATTTTAAACTCTAAAAAAAGTTAAAATCAAGTAGATATATAAACATATGAAAATCTTGAAAATGGACGGTCTAAATAATGTATTGCAAAATACACTATTTCTGGGACTCAAAATCTTTTCTTTTCTTTATTCATACATCTTGATGTCGAGATGATCAATTAGAGGGTTTTCCAACATTAAAAGAACCTTTTTCAATGGATTTTGAGGTGCATATTTAATTCTACATTTTAAGGCTGCAACCTTATATAAGTTTTTTCCTATTTTAGGATATATGATTGTTTTAATTACCTTTTTATGAGGAATATATTACTTGTACTTTTTTCGTACACTTTTTTTAAGGGAACTCATTGGTGAAATTTTTGATGGAATTTTTTGTTAAACCGAGATTCTTAATTTACTCCCACTGTTAATATACTTATCTTTAAACCAAAATTCAATAATATTAAGTTAATAAAGAAATAAAGTTATAGGGAAGAAATTTTTTTGACAACTTTTTTTTTTAAAAAAGATAGAATACGGGATATATATCGGTTCCATTAAAAAAACGTGATTTTTTGAAGATCTTTTGAAAAACTCGGAGTTCTAAACGTATTTCAAAAAATTGGAGATTTTTTTAAAAACCATGTTTTAAACGGAGACTTTATAACTATGGGTGGGACTAAAACATACCAGCAAGCCCTCCTGGAGTGCCAATTGCTTTGCCATCTGAACAGCATCATCACTGGATATCTGTGGAAATAAGGAGAAGTTTGTTATAAGCTGAATTCTATTTGATTGAGAACTCCAATGTTATGTAAAGAAGAAAGAGAACCAAATAGTTGAAAGTGTTCTACAACTAAGAAAATGGGGAACATTAAACTTTTAAGAGTCCAAATCTTATTACACAGCCACATCTTTGAACAAAATCAAGTTTATCAATCATTGTTCATTCTTCTTGAGCATAATGCAAGCACCATTTTTATAGTGGAATGTTGCATAAATAGCACCATCGCAGTAGTCCATTATGCAAGTTTTCAATGGTGATTTCACCAGAAGCAGGCTAGTGTAACATCCTTTAAATGACAGCGTAGTTCCCATCATATCGAGTGACCTAGCATAGTTCCGATAGTATTCTAGCACAATGAATACTTTCACTTTTTTTTTTAACAAAATTATTGCATCTTGTGAATGTTGCCAAGAAATGGACACAGTTAAAACATCCTTCAAGCAATCCATTAAGTGAGACCAAACAATGGCTAATAACATACATAAAAATTCCCTAACCATGAGGAAACTGGCAGTGCAGTAATAACCTCTCCTGGAGATAGGAGGCGAAATTTAATAGTTTCTACAAGAAATAGAGTTCTTTTTCAATAGAATGCTTACAAGGTTGACCATTTCAGGCTACAACTAGTTCCTAACCTCCAGATAATCAATTCTTTTTTTTTAGTCGCTCTGTTATTTCCTGTTTTCTCCTTTCAGAGGACACAAAGGTAAACATCTTCCAAAATTTAGCTTCTTGATACAATCTTGTCTAAGGGAAGCATTATAGCAATGGCAATTACTTAGCAATGACCAGACCACAACCTGCAGAGCCTCTACATTGAAATAAGACATAAGATAATTGGCAACTTTGCATACCTCTAAGATTTCATCAAGTATGTCTAAATCCAAATTCTTGGGTACAAAACCAGCTCCTATGCCTTGAATCTTGTGGGGACCTACAGTGGCCACAATGCAAGAAACAGAATACAATCATGGAATATTTCATATAATCCACCTGCTATAAAAGTGAGATATAAACATAACACAGTGTAAGGATGACAGAAACAATTCCCCTGACCTGGTTTTCCACCTGAAAGTATGTTGCTCTCTGAGGGCTCCACGCCAATAACCTAGAGCACAACATGAAAAATTGCACTCAAGTCCAAGATAATGAATCTATTTTTCTCTAGAATTCATTTTCTTCGTATTAACATAATTGCAACCTCAAGAAAATCTCAACACCACCAAAAAACATAGAAAGAAAGTATCTCATAACACTTAACTTTTTTTTTTGGTGAACAATTAACTTTTGAATCTCATGGAACTTGGAATGGTAAATAACCAAAAGAGACAAGGTTTCTTTTTCTTTTTTAATCAGTCTTGGAAAAATCAGAGAGTCCACTCATGACTTGGCTGAGTCACTCAGGCTCGGCACCCTGCCAAGCCTGGAAACCACCCTGCTCAGGTAGGGGTAATATTCACTTACCCAATTTACTGTTGTAACTCGAAGGATCTGTCAAAGAATTCGCAAGTTTTTGACAGATTTGCCGAGTCCGGTAGTTTTTCTTAGTTTAAAAGGGAGGCAGAAAACTCCCCTTTTATGATCATTTTTCCTAAACAATTGTTAGGACGATCCCGAATTAGATCAGATTCAAGAAAAAAAAAAAAAAACGAATTCCTCGGATTTGAGAACTTGAAATTTTCAAACTAGTGTTCAGCCGAAGTTTAAAGTTTTTGATTTCTTCGCAACACTAGCTCGATCTCAGATGACATTTGCTACCTAAGATTTGTGTTGTTTGTTGAATCATAGGCCTATTTCTCACAAGAAATCATTCAAAATCTCAGATTTTTGAGATTTTGAAAATAAAACACTACTTACATGAACCTTTTCATCATTTTTTTCAAATTAAAACACTATGTATGCCAAAAACATCAATCTTTTTTATCATGTCCATTTCTATAAATCTTTAAGAAATTTTGTGAAATTTTATGATTTTTTTATTTTTCCATACTTGTTTGGAATATATTGGGGCAACTCACCCAGCATGGAAGAACATTGTCCACTCAGGACTCACTGATCTAACTTCTTCTGGGCCCATGTCGAGTTCCAGATCTAGCTCTGCGATTGCTAAAAGTATTTTCATTAACATTAACAGCAGCGGGGTTGGAGTCTAGGGCGTAATCCTCAGGTCATATCACCCTAACCAAAGCAAAAAAAAAATTTTCTTTGAATGTTAAATTGGGACCTGGTGAGAATGGAACTCTAGGCATCAAGTCCGTTATCAAGTATCATAGCTTTTCTGTTATACTTTATTTAGTTTCCGATTACAAAGTTTTGTTTGATCTAGAACAAAACAAGCATATATTTAGAGCCAAATATGCATTGAGAAAACACATAATTAAATGCACAGAAATACATAAAATCTCCAAAACAATGCAATACAGGATAATCTAGACTTACAATTAAGTTAAAAAAAAGGAAAATATACAAAATTAGAGAAGTAAAGGTTGTGAACTATTTGAGACTGCTACATGGTTGCGGATGACAGTGCCAGAAAAGCACATGGAAATATGAATAATGTATATCCTGAAAATAGGAACAAACAGAGAAGTGGACAAACCTTTATGTTTGGGTTTTTGTTCTTCAGATAACGGCCAACACCAGTGACAGTTCCACCGGTACCAATGCCAGCAACAAATATATCCACTTTGCCATTTGTATCTTCCCATATTTCCGGCCCAGTTGTCTCAAAGTGTATCTGGTAGGACCATAAACACAAAAGAAAAAAAAATCAAATGGAAGGCAGAAGATAGGATCCTTGTTGACATCACATAGTATAGAAGCCGGCTTTCCTGTTGAAAATTATAATTCTCAATGTTTCAGATGCAAAAAAGCCCCAAAAATTTCTAAATGACTAAGATACCTACTGTATTAATTTGGGGTTACCTCCATAACCAAAACTAAGAAGAATCCCATGTTTCCTTCAAATGTGCACTGTAATGTCTATTCAAGAAACTCTAAATGACTAAAATGCCAAATAGTAATTTGGGGTTTCAATCCAAACCAACATAAGAATAACTTCAAGTTCCCCTCATAAATGTGCACTTCTAATCATATCTATTCAATAAAGGTGGCTAGTGCATAATTTAATGCCAATTTGTTCACACCTTTGGGTTCGCAGGGTTATCAAATTGCTGAAGCATGTATGCCCCAGGAGTCTTCTTCAGAATTTCTTCAGCCTTTTGAACTGCCGCCTTCATGCCCTTAGCAGGATCAGTGAGAATGAGCTCAGCACCAAAGGCTTTAAGAAGCACTCGCCTTTCCATACTCATAGATGCTGGCATTGTTAGAATCAGTTGGTATCCTTTCGATGCAGCAATGAATGCAAGACCAATGCCAGTATTTCCACTTGTTGGCTCCACCAATATACTCTGAAATATGTAGATTAGATAAATAAATGAATCATAGCTACCTAAAAAGAACATAAAAAAATAATCATGTAGTTACATTATTCCTGATGCATGAAACCATTGATATGATGAAGGGTGATGAAGAGCAGGAGCGAACATTGGGTCATATCTAGTACTGGTAGGTCCCACTCATTCCATCAATAACCATCATTTCATGGGCAATGATCCATTAATTAGTCTTTTAGACAATTATTAGGCGATTACATACTTCTCTAACAGAAACAATTAAATGCATTTTATGACTAGAAACAAATAATCAGTATAAACAGACAACATGAAAATAAATGTTAAAAAGTGCAAGTAACCATTATTCTAACCTTTCCAGGAGTTATCAGTCCCTTCTGTTCGGCATCAGATATCATGCTAAAACCTATCCTGAGGAGAAACAGGTTGAGAATAAAAGGTTAGCATCAGACATATGTTTTGATCTGTAGCTCTTCAATAGAAATGGTGAAAGTATTACTGATAACGATACGTAAATTATGAAAATAAAAACAGCAGCCAAATTAATACTGATAAAAAAAGGAAACTAGTTGGCCAAAATATAGCCTTTCACCTGTCCTTCACACTGCAGCATGGCTCCATAATTTCGAGCTTCGCAGCAATATTTGCAACGCATCCCTCAACTACACCATTCAGGTATACCATAGGGGTCTTCCCTATGAGCTGTTAAAACAAGGACAATTATGCATCAAAAAAAGAAATGATTCTTCTGCCTGAATAACTACAAATGATTCTTTAAACTAAATAACTACACACCAACTGAATCGAGGCAAACATATTTTGCAAGAGGTCTTTCAGTCTTTGTGAAGGGGTAAAGTCTTTGAGAGTTTCCCATTTCAAATTAGATTTTGTGAAGAGGATTAATGGGGTGTTCTATAACAGACTAGTTTTATAACATGGAGAGAAATAAGGATATGGGGTTTCACCAAAAATCTTCATTTCTATGGCTAAAAATTGTTTCATCAAAAGTCAAAACAGATGCAAGAAGCATCAAGAACAAATTAGCTAACTGCAATAGTATAAAATCTCATAATCCCATCCTTTCCCTTTGCCAGTTAGAATCAAGTGGCTGACTTTATCGAGCTCCATTTTTAGCCAAGGCAGTCTATCATTATATCAGTTTCTAATTACCATACAATACATCACATGTCTACGCAAAGTGCCCAGTAGTTTCAAAATTAGTCTTTTTAAGCCATTAAATGACAAAGAGAGAGCTCTTCTCAATCACCACTAGATTGGTTAAAAAGCTGGTTAAATTCAATCTAGAGAAGGTGTATGACCAAGAAAATTGGGAATTGAGGATTTCTAAACTTGTTTTTTTTTACAATTAAAGGCTTATTTATTTACTTAAAAATGCATTCGTAAAGAGAGAAATAGAAGAAAAGTAAGCATTGACTACTAAATCATTCAGTGCATCCATAACCACATACATTTGTATCGAACTGTTATTAATTCACTATAAAAAAAAACTTAAAAAAAAAAACCAAAAATACGGCACCATACCAAAGCACTGAAATCCATTATTCCCCATTTTTCCAATATGCAAAGATAAATCAAAATTAATTCCAAAAATGTACTGAACAAAAAACAACAATAAAATAACAACAAATGCAAATTGTAAATTCAAACAAGCAAATAAAAAGATAAAAATAACCCAAAAAAATTGTCCACGTATCAAATTTTATAAACCAAAAAAAAAAAATTAAACTTGTAAATTCCATGCCTGAGTAACATCTTCTGCAATGTTGAGACCCTCAATCTCAGTCTGTGGTGTCACAGACACAGCCTCACAAGTAACAGGCCTAGAAACCCTAATTCCCCTATTACTAAGTGAAAATGGACTGGGCTTTTTCAGGCCATCAAACACAACAAAACTCCTTAGAAAGAGGTTACCATGAATAGCATTTTCTAGAGAGAGATTAGGTCTGGTTTGAGGAGCAGAGGGCAAAGGAGTAGGGAGAGAAGCCATGATCAAAACAACCCTAGATTCTCAGAAAACTAGAGAGAGATTAGCTGAGATTTTAGAGAGAGAAAAACCCTACAAATTGCTATAAAAAGGGAGGGTGACAATGGATTTTCGGCACCGAAGCTTCAAAAATGTAAAAATTCTGGATCATTTCCACGCTGGTAGTGGGACCCACAAAGTAGAAGAAAAGATTGTTCTTCCGTTAGGTCTACGATTGACTTTGGATGTCACAATTCGCCAAATTTTCGGATACGGCAAAATTTCGGATGCTTTTCGAAATTAAGCGAACTTACTTTTAAGGCAAATCATCAACCATAAACAGTCTTTTGTAAACCTCGTCCAAATCTCGTCCACTTTTTAAAAAAAAATTTGGTCGTTATGGGACCAAAATGACATTCACAATAGTTATATTACGGTAATAACTTGAATTAATATTGTTGTATTTTAAATACTGTAAAATTTTATAAAATTTAATTCATATTATAAAAATTTTTAATTACAGTAAACATTACAGTACTTAAAATATCATAAAAGCTACCATCTTTTCTTTATTAAAAACAATAGTTTTTTTCCACCTCTCTCTTTATAATGGGCATGGCGAACAATCCTTATAGGCATATGCTTCTTGGGTTTACATCTCATAACGAAACACATGGCAAACAATCCTTATAGGCGTATGCTTCTTGGGTTTACATCTCACATTGTAAGCCCCATAATCACAAAACGATTAAAATTGAAAAAAAAAAGAAAAAAAAAAAAGAAAGGGTGTGAATAAGGTTTATAAAAATTAGAATTTCTTTTTAAATAAATAAAAATTTAAAATATATTTGTGATAATTTTTATACTTTTTATGATGAATAATAATTAATGTTTTAAAGCTTGATGCTCCATCTTATCTCCAATTTTTTTTGTTCAAATCAAAAATAAATTTATTTGATTATATATTTAATTTATTTTTTATATGTTTAACAAAAATTGTAGATTGCCTCCTTGACCCTACTTTCTAGGCATCCCTTCCTCTTAATTTGTAAATCATAATACGAATTTTAAAATTGTTTATTTTTGCTAAGTCAAATAGTAGGATCCTTTTGGATTAAATTACCTTTAAAATTATATATATTTTCTCAAGGAAAAACTTAAACCAATTTGGCACAATGTATACTCGGGTATGTTTCTTTTAAATAAGGGAAAATATTTTTTTATCTTCTATTTTTTACTTCGATTTCTCATCAAATCCAAGGTTTGTTTGAAAATGTTATACAGCATGAAGTCTCCATTTTTTTACTAAAATGATATTTCCATAAAAAACACTCCCTCTCTCAACATTCTATCTCTCTCATGCCCAAAATTAACCCTATGTATCGTCAATGTCTCCTCTCTCTCTCTCTCTCTCTAACTAAAAAATAAAAAAAACACAAACTCTGTTTAAAAAAAAAAACCCTAAAGCATATCTCTCTCTCTGGAATCGCTGTCTCTCAAAGGATGTTGAATTCCGTGTTCGTGAAGTCAGAGCTCAGGCGTCGGTCCAAGCAGCGATTATGTTGACGCCTGGGGCAACGAGGTCCAGGTGTCAGGTGTCTGGGCGTTAGGGCCTCGGGCTGAGAAGGAGGCCACCACCGGCGCCGATTTCACTCCGAGGACGGTGCGGTGCGGTGCGGTGCGGTGCCGTGCCCTTGAAGGCAATGGTTGCGATTGGGTTGTTGGCGGACGATATGATTTGATGGCTTCGCCTTCATCTGCCTTCCCCAACCTAACGGTGCACGCAGGGAGGTGGTTGGGCATCACCGACGAGACGAGACGAGACGAGACGAGGCCCTCACCATCCCTACTCCGCCAGCGTTCTTCACCACCAGGCCCTTTGCCACGATCTTCCCCTTGACGGCACCCGGACTCAAGGAGTTGTCCATGCAAAGGGCAGTTGAGAGGCCGCCTGCTTTCCCAGGGCACATCTTCCATGCAAGTGAGGTGCCCGAGTAGAGGGAAACACCAGGCCGAGTCTTACCGTTGCTGAGGGTGACATCGGCCGGGAGATGCTGCCGGCTCCGACGGTGGTCACCCAACGGGGCAAGGTTCATGACTGAAAGTCCGGTTGGGCCATCATTCCAGTCCGAAGATCCCACAAAGAAGCCTTTAGCAGTGGCGGCAAAGGATCCGAGAGCGATGCAGTCAAGGTAATAAGGCACCCATCCCCCACCAATTGATACAGAAAAAGACATCCATCGCCGTCTGCAATGCTCGATCGAAGGCAGCAAGTATGTCTGAGTCGAAGCAGCCTGCTTTCCAATTGTAGACCGCCAGTCATACCTTTGGGGCTACACCCCGGGCTATTCCAGATGCATACCCGGACATATTTGCCTGAAAAACATACCTCCCGGCGGCTGTTGATGCGGTATATGAGCCGTGTCCGTCGGCGTCCCTGGGCGACTGGAACTCAGCAGTGTCGTTCATAGAGCCACCAGTAGTGGCCTCATAACCCCTGGCGAAAAAGCAAGCTCCAATTAGCTTGCGGTTACGGTGGGCTGTGGTAAAGCTAGGGCCGGTCTCACACTCACCCTTCCATCGAGCAGCGATAGGGCCCATGTTGTGCTCGGTGAAGCTGCGGTGCTCCGGCCATATACCGGTATCAAGAACACCAATGATGGCATCAGACCCAAAGTCGGAGTCAGAGCAAAGGCCCCGCCGGTTGCTGAGCCCTAAGAACTGTGGGGCGGGGCGGGGAGGGGCGGGGCTGGTCTTCGAGCGCGCCCCAAGGATTGCAGGGTGCTCTCCAATCTCAGCGGCCTCATCGGCAGCTAGCCGTGCCGCGAAGCCATGGAATGCGGTATCGGGTGGATGAAGGCAGACGTGTACCAGAGCTGGTGGGAGGAGAAAACTGAGGTCTTGGAGTGCTCATCCACCAGGAATATGAAGCTCTTTTGTTGAGCGCTAGTTGGAGGGAGAATAAGAAGAGAAGCAGAACCAGAGCAGCCATTAGTGACTGGTAGGAGGAAGGGCAGAGAGAGAAGATGTGGATGAATGGCCTGAGCTCTGGCTTTAGGAAGCTGTGGGTTTTTTAGAGAGAGAGGTTAAATGTATATTATAAAGGAGCTTGATCGAGCACATATTGTATCGGACAACTATTATTTAAAACCTTAAATTAAATGAGAGAAATGTATATTATAAAGGAGGATATTTTCGTCTTAAAAGACTATAGATGTTAACATGGGATATGACCGCAAAAATAATTAGTTTTGCACTTAGTAGTTTGGCTCACAAAGTATTAGAGAGAATCATGCCTAGGAAGTAGGATCGCGAAAGGTATCATTAATTTTTTCTTTTTTTTACAAATTGATTATCACCCCAAAGAATCTATACCAGGCACTAAATCCAAATTGGCAAACCGCTAAGTTAGATCGGAGTGGCCGGTTTAGGTTTGAATGGTCAGGGTGATCAATTGGTATTTTTTAAAAAAAAAAATTCAAAAAAATATATATATATAAAGTCTCAAAAATAATAAATTTGACTTGTAATGCATTTATAAATATTTTTTATATTATTGTGAAGATTAAAAATTGTTTTGGTCATTAATACTTATTTTTATATTTTTTTATTTTTTTAAAAAAATTAAAAAATAGCACTTGAAAAATATAAAATAGGTTAAAATCTTTTTTTTCCTTTAAATTTTCAACTTCATTTGATTGTGTTTTGTTTTAATCATTCTTTATATGTTTTTCATATTTTAGTATATCTTTTTGTATTTTTTATTTTTTTCAACACTTTTTTTACCTCCAAAGACTTGTCCGATTAGAGCGATTGAATCGGCCGATTTACCAGTTAGGCTAAGTAAACTGCTTCCAAGCTCATGTTCGATTAACTGTTTCAGTTCGATTTTACAAACACTGATGCACACTTTAAACTCTCTTCCACTTCAAACTCTCTTAGAAGATAGAAGTTCCAGTGTCAACGATCATGTTATGACCTTAAAATCTACTTTTCGCTCCTAATTATAACTTAAAAGTTCCAAAAGTGGTACGGATCAAACATATATATACTTTAAATTCTTAAAATAGGCAGTATAGATAATATGTTAAAAGATGTGATATATTTAGGATTTGAAAACCTTTTTATTTTTTTTGTATGTCCATACTTAAGGAGATCAAGAGGATCAATTAGACGGTTTCTAGAGTTAGAACAACCTTTTCTGGTATATTTTTTAGGAGCACCTTACTTCTATAGTTTAGGATTGATATATTTTTTTCTAACAAAAAAAATAATTAGTGAAAACAATCAAGATTAAAAAAAAAGTCACCATCTCAACAAAAAAATAGAGAGAAGCAAGATGGATTTATTTTGTATTTTTATCAATAAGGTTTTTGGCTAGTTACATTGAGGACTTAAAGTACATCAAATTCACTTTTACACATTAATTTGACGTTCCAAAAATAATGCAGACTGAATTTTAAATTGCATATTTATACTTGGAATCTTTGGAATGTGCATTAATGATGAGACAAATGAATTAGAGAGCTGGTCACGTCCAAAGCATCAATTAGAGATTGATTATTTATGTTTAGACTGGACTAATGGGCAGGATTTCGTTTGGTGGGACTCACATAAAAATGACGAGAGAGAGAGAGAGAGCAAGCCCTAATTTTTTAAAATTTTTCAATTTTCAACAATTCTTTCACCAATGAATTAGGGTTTTCCACTATTTGTTTCCAATTGAAGTAGTTTGTAGGGCCCGATTTTATAGAGAAAAAAAAAAGAAAAAATAAGGGAAAGCTCTATGTGATTCCACCTATGCATAAATTATATGTGAACCCACTTGTCAATCATCCCATCTAAATCGATGGCTAGGATTATTCATGCCAAATTGTTGGGCCAAAATATTATTTGATTTTTAGTTCTTTTTTTTACAAAACTTTTTTAATTAAAATTTGGGGTCATGTCTTCTCATTGCAGTAGCACCTAGCAAAAACAAAAAACCATATTTATCTTGCAAATAAATTAGCAAAATGCCCCCACAGGTTTTTGGAATGTTTTGGTAATTTTATACCAAAGGAAACACCGTTTCTTTCTTTTTATAATGTGCGCCCCTATCATATGTATGTATGCCCCTAATTTCATTGCAAAATGATTTATAGAATAAAGATTAAAACTAAAATACTTTAAGCTTTTAAATCAAGATTTGACCCTCGAGGCCAACTTATGATATTGTGACTCAAGCCATCCCAGATTCCGAGTCATTTACTCAAATCTGACAGCTGAACGCAATATAACATGTACTTTGTATGTAGGAAGAGTCACATGTAAATAAGCTTGTCCCAAAATGTTGTTCTAGTGTGTAGAAATGTAAATTGATCATGACTATCATCGAAATGGACAAGGAAAATCCAAGCTTCGAAAAATACTTATTGTAACATGTTTTTTAAACCGTTCATTTCAAATGCTTACAATTTTTATTTGTATTATTTTTAAATATTCAAATTCCATAGTAAGGAGTAAACATAGTAACTTTAGTACAGAAAGTGGTCAAAATAGTGGTTATATCACAAGTGTTTCTAGCACTAGAATTGCATTTTTTGGTGGAGTTTTCATATGTGGTGTTTTAGCAAATATAGTAACACCGTAGCCCTACAAGAGCCACACCCATTTTTATATATTACTTAAAAAATGATACTTTCATTCTTAACATAAAAAAAAAATGGAAAACTTTCATTCTTAACATAAAAAAAAAATTAAAAAATTTATTCGAGCACGTATGAGAATATGACCCTTAATAAAACAGAATGATGGACCAGGATTTATGTAATTGACCCAATTAGTTGAGAAAAAACTTCGACGATAATGATGAGATATCGACTATGTAAACATTTTACTGATATCTTTTGATTTAGTACCAATCAAACAACACATCATGACTTAAAATAGTCACAAATGAGCAAAGTCTAGGACATGTCATCCCTTAATAGGTTATTGACAAATTTCCTAGAAAAGAAAAAAAAGGGAAGGACAATTGTTCTTAGAGGGTGTAAATTGAGATTCTGTGATCCTAAACACTCATTATCAAAGGCAAAGCTAGCCCCGAAGAGTTACTAAAAACGTAAATTAGACTATTTAATTAAAAAGTTTAGGAGAAAGGTTATGACTTGATTTAAATTAAATTAAACTTAACTAAAGCCACTCAAAGTGCTTTTCAAGGGGGACCACGGTCGTTGAATGCTGAGATAAAAACCCCTAATTTTAAGGCTGGATTGGGCCTTCGAGATATATTGAATCACATAATGAATCACGAGTGTATACCATTTACTTTTAGGGCATATTTGATAAGTGGGAGTTAAATGTCCTCCTTTTATTTTTGATATTATTGTGGGGAAGCTATAAAAAATGGTAGGGCGATTTTTCAAACAGTTTTATTTTATCTGAAATATTTTAGGGATATTTTAATCAACTTAGTTCATGTAAAATATTTTTTTGATATTTTTGATAGATTTTTTTATTTTTTATAAAGACATGCTCCAAATTTCAAACCATTCCGATATGTAAATAAAAAATAAAAAATAAAAAATAAAATATTACCAGATAATTGTGACCATGGGATGAACTTTGAACGGTGATGAGGATAAACGAAATCACTGTTCATTTTCGCCTATAGGCATTTTGTAGTATCTTCATAATATATATATATATATATATATATATATATATTAGTAGTACGGTAGGTAGGACGGAGACGAGACGAGGTAGAGGA